AGTCTTGAGTTTATCAGAATAGAAGTTGTTATAACTTAGTTTACTTATAAAATAAAGTAAATATGCACAAAAGTTTGGTAAAATGTAAAAAAAAAATTTACTTTCCGAAATCTTATTGTACTTAATAACATATAGTAAATGCCACGTGCTTCCAAGGTAAAGTTCGCCAAAAAAATTTTTACGGCTTAGTGGCTTTGAAAAATAAAAGTATGACATATTACTTTATTATTTTTTACTATTTTAGTAAAATTATGTTAAAATTTTTGTTACACTAGAAATTGACAAAATCAGTGCACTAAGACAAATTAGTAAATGATCTGCGTCAAATTTATTGTCAATTAATTTTATTATTGATAAATAAATAAGTAGGACTATATTGGGTAATAAAAATCGAAACAAATCTTTTTTTTTCAACTTTAAACATTATTTATACAAGAAGACCTTGATATTCAGCTTTGGAATATTTTTTTGCAAGGTAAGGCCATTGTACTAAGAATTTATCAACGAAAATATATAATAATTTCCCTGATAATGATAATGTTTTAACTCTAGCAAATGATTCTACATAAATCAATTTTATCCATTTAATTCCCAATATCTAAAAAAAAAATAATAAAATTTTTTTTAAAAAAAGAATTTTCTCTTTATACAGCTAAGAAATGAAACCAACTTACTCTGGGAATGTAAGAAATAACACAAACGGGAATACAACTTCCTGGTCCATTACATATTATCTACCGGATACAAATCAGATTCATATAAAAAAAAAAAAAATTACACGATAAAAAAAAAAAAAAAAGAGTTTCTTACTAGATCCGGTAATTCACCAAATATTAAGTTGAAACATTTTATTAACGCTTTAAGAACGCTAAATGGGGTGCTTAACCAAGATTGTCCAACCTGTCTACTTCTCGGTATCATTTTAACAACGTGCTTTTTTTTTCATCCCAAAGAAATCATTCTCGAATTTTAACATTCAGAAAAAAAAAGAGAGAGAAAATATAATTTTATAATCATCATAAAAATTTGCATACATCATTATTATGATCACCGGATTTTCTATTCTCGAATTCAACAACCTTTTGTAAACTTAAATAATCATTATCGGTCACGACATACAATCTCGGTCGGTAAACTTTTTCAAAATCCAACCCCTCGATCAATTGAAACATTTCCATCGTATGACCTCCTAATTGTTTTGTTTAAATCATTAAGACCTGAACATGAATAAAAATATATTATAGAATTGGAGTTTAGATACCAGATCCTAATATTATACAGGTTTTAAGTGATGGTTTGGGTCGATTAGATGGGGGAATGATAGGTTTGTCTTTATGACGCTGTGGTAATATATGATATAACCTTATTAAGAAAAGCAAAATGAATAATAATAATAAAAGGATCCATGAGATCGAAAGCATCCTATTAACAAAAAAGAAAAACAAAAAGGGAAGGGAACGGAAAAATCTTGATAAATGATTTAAAAACTCGGAAAGCAAGATTTATATATCGATCATGGTTACACCGAATCGCAACAATAAATTTCATATGTTTGCATGTGTATCACCAAACAAAAATGTACCTACTCGTGAATGCATTTTGTTTCGCCGAACTATTTTTATCGAATTACGAAGTTTTCTTTATTTTACTTCAGATATTCACAAATGGATCCAGTTAAACTTTGAGCACAAACTTACAATTCAAATTATGAAATTTTTTTTGAGAATTTTATTAATAAATTACAATTTTAGTATTTAAGTATTTAAGTATAATTAAAAAAAAAAGTAAAATTAAAAAAGATTGAAGTTGAATTGAAATTTACAAAGAATGCTTAGTAATATAATTTTTTAAAAATTAAATAATCTGTACACAAACTAATTAAAATCTTAAAAATGAAAATGAAAATGAAAAAAAAAAATGTGGTTCATCTTTTTCTGCGGCACATGAATTCCTTAGGCAGACCTATGTAAAGTCGGTTCAATCTCATGCTCATAAAAAGCCAAACAAACATCTTTAGCTTCTGTACATAAACCAAGAAATTGTACATTCTTATAAATATTTGACCAATTCTCTATGGTCATAGTGCTATACCACTTGTCATCATCACCAGTATATAAGTATTCTAATATGGGTTGAAAGGTTTCGGGAGCGGCGGGGAGGGTGATCGTTATACAATCACCATTTTTTACCCTCTCAAAGACTTGACGAAAAAAGATTGATTGGAGGATGAGATATTCTTTATGAACGAAAAATGTAGTTTTAGGGAGGGAATTAATGAGAAGTTCAGCAAAAGCGGTTTGTCTATTATTATAATAGGTTGAACCTAATAAATGTAATTTTTCGAGAATATATGATACAGGAATGCCATCTATTAAGTGACAATGATCGAATGAGGGTGGAAGTGTGCCTAATGGAAAAGATGCAGATGAGGAAGATACTGATGAAGGTGAGGAAGAGGATGATGAATATTCTTGGGGTGAATGATATTGTTGATGTTGAAACGGTGAATTTCTTGGGATTTGTGAGTATGAAGAAGTTTGTGATGGGTATGGATTTTGTTGGTAGACCGCATTTGGCGGAAACGGCGAGTTTTGTGAAATTGTTGAAGTCATTCTTGATGATGTTGCTGTCGACATTTTTTTGTTTGTTTGAGGATATCTTTTGAAATTAGAGTAGTTATTTTTCTTTTGTGAAAGTGTTTTTTGTTTCAAAATATTTTTATTTTAAAATAAATAAAAAAAAAAAATTATATAAAAATATTATTATATATGTTGTAATATTTTTTTTTTTATTTTCTTGGTTTTTTTTTTATTGTGGGTTTTTTTATTTTCTTATTCTCTTCCTTGAATGTTGAATGATTGACTGACAGCAAAATATAGGTTTTAAACAGTTTGATGAAACAAGCTCCAAAGAGAAAAGGATAACAAGGTTCACAAATAGTCTATATATATTAAATTCTCCTAAAAGTAAAAAACAACGGATGGTAGGACTATTCTAAATACATATGACAATAGTTAATATTGTTTTTTTTTTTTTTATTGACTGAATTTGAAAAATTTTCCCATTGTTTTAATTACAAACAATACTTTCTAATAAACTTTTTGTGTGATAAATATTGACCTGAAAAAAAATGGACAAATTTGGTTTAAAAGGGGGTCGATCCTTTAAAATTTGGTTTAGTTGAATTTCGTTCATAGGTTAAAAAATGGTTGCATTTGAAAAAAAAAAATTTTGAGTGCCTTCACCAAATTTTTTCATTAAAGTTCAAGATCTGTTGATTAGACAGTTGTTTCGCCGTTAATTATAACCTCCTTTATAAGTACGGTATTACGTAGAACGTAATAAACTAAGCTACATTAAACTTTAAACTTATCGGAGCTAATCTATTTCGGAACCTCTTTTGAATGAACACTTTTTTAGTGATATATAAATACGCAGCAAAACAAGATAACTGTGCGACGAGTCAAACACGAGAACTTAATCAATGTATTACAATCCAAACACGTTGAACATTATTCATATTAAAATGTATTCATTCAAAAAAATTGTCGCATAAATTTCTCGAATATCGTACAATATTGCGCTCGGATAATTTTATCACCAACAGCCTTTAGTTGTATTACGAATCGCAGATTATCTTAAAAAAGATTGCAAGCTTATAAGAAATCCTTGTAACTGAAAATGATCTTGAAAGTTAAAGGGAAGTGGCTTTGCCACGAATTCTTCCCTAATTAATAAGTTCATCAATCATGTTTGGTCATATTTTTTTTTCTTTGCATGCGAGAAAATGTCCAAGTAATAAATACAAACAAAAAAAAAATAAAAATAAAAATAAAATAAAATAAAATTTTCGTGCTTTCGTTTGGTCATACTCGAATGAAAAATGTAAAAATTAATGTTTTTTCAATGAATCATTGTGCATATCTCATTGTGCATAACAGTTACAATACCAAAAGTAATTTTTTAAGTAATAACTATCGAAATCACTATCGAAATTTCTTTTTGTGAAAGAACAATTTATTTCTAATTTTTCATTGTTACCCAATGAAAACACAACGTAATCCAACAACAAGAAAAAATTCCTTAAAAGCTCATGTACTTTACATTGACACTTACCTTATTCGGGTATAACGCCACGAAGATTTCAGGGGTTCAACTGTATAGGAAACGTACTTCATTTCACATTTAAGAATACATGGATCGATATTTTTATTTCAATAAAATGGATGATAGACAAACACAATTGGATGATATACAAGCGCCCCGCTATCAAAAGATCTTCCACAAGATATCACAAACAGAAATTCTTTCAATATATCATTTCAAAATATTTAATAGTTTTTTTGATTATGATTATTTCTTTTTGACTCTCACTCCTTCAGAAATTATTACATATAAGAAGGCATAGCGGAGATTAATGTCATAGTTCCGCAGAGTAAAGGTGACACAAGTATCATAATAAACATATGTTTATACGTTCTCCCACCATTTCAAAGAATTGACATACATCAAATTTCAGGGATGCACCTATTCAAATAATATAACTGCAAGGAAAAGTGAATTTAAGAAAATGTCAATAATAATTGTCATCGAACCAATCACACTTGCGCACATTCAGCCCAATAAGGAAAAACGATCCGTCTTATCATTGAAATTCGTCAAGCTTTGTTTGATATACCGAAGATAAACAATTTTTGTATTCAGGTTAACCATAAATAACTTATCTTTGTTTCCTAAAGTTTTATCCAAATGCTCTACCCATATTGATAAAGCATTAATGCGGTTTAGCATTTTTGCCTTCCCTATTATGACTATGAAAAGACACAAAATGGGAATTTGATAGCTTCATAACCAGCGAATATCGAAGGTCTAGCGTCCTATAACAGAATTTAACATTTCCCAATTTTCTCGTGAAAACACTGCATTAAGATATCCGATTACTTTCCTTGGTTGAGGGCATTGCATATACATTTGATGATTTCAATGAAGTGTGTCATTGAAGCTTGTTTGATGTTCCAACTAAGGTATTGCATTTAATTTACGCTTTAGTTTGATGAAAATTCTGCAACCATTTTCAAAACGCCTTATGTTCATTACATTATTCTTGCTTGTCTTGTACATTTATCTGCATGAATAATAATTCTTTCTTCTCCAAGACCAAGAAATTAAAATGATGCTAAAATCTCTATGGTTGAGTAGTAGATTATCAACAAAGCCACAACTTTGTTCTCGGATTTTCTTTGTCGAAGCGACTTTGTTATATTGATGCATTGAATCCTCCGTTCCATATGTATGTCTTTTGCCCTATTTTTTCATTATGGAATTTACAAAGTTGCTCACTACCATATTGAGAGATAAGCTATAAGAATTGTGAAAATCAAAAAGTTCAAGATGAGAATCAATTACTATTATGTACAAAAGACGCGAAATTTTCCACGGGCTAACAAAGGTTCTATATCTTCCCAAATAAAACCTTTTTTTTATTTATTTAATTATAAATCAACTTACTTTTCGAGTGAATGTTGCCAGTTTTCACTAAACCTTTTCATACCCTCCGTCTTCTGGACATTATAGTTGGTAGAGGTCTCTTGGTTACTCGAGACATTTTGCGCACTTCATTGTTTTATGGTGACATGAGTAAAATAATCTTTATGTAAACCACGCCTGGGTTTAATTTTTTATTTTCGTAATACGAACTAATAACTGACGAATTTTGACTTGTTCCTTTGAATCTGACACGTCTAATGATCGGTAAATGATTGTATCACTATAAATAAACCTTGGACCCCTGAAATTTCTTGTGGCGTGCAGGATACCCCATTTTTTTTTTTAGTGGAGTGCATAAAATTGAAATGGTTTGCCCAAAGTCAAACGGATCATTTCTTTAACTGAATAAACTGAATAGCAAATATGAACTACTTAATTTTTGTTTGTGATACATTTTTACAAATATGGAATTCCTCTTTTTTTATATATAAATTACAGAGTCGTTCCTTGGTAGAATTCCTTTTTTTTTCTTTATGATGATAATCTTTTATAAAAAATATCTGAAAGAATTTTTTGGATGTTTATTATTAATACAGTTTTATTAATTAATTTAATTAATCTTAAATTTCAAAGAAAAAGATTGTTTCATTAGATGGGTAAAAGTAAAATCAGCAAATCATTTTTTTTAAAAAAGAAAAGTTCCCTGATTATATATAATCGAAAGTCACTTGATAAATAGATAAATACGGTTAGGTTAATCAACAATTAATTGATTCATGTGATCATATGATGAACTGTTCAAGTAAAATTTCAAATTTTTTTTTTTACAAAAATTTTTCTTAGAATTAATAAATAAATTCCTAAATCTCATCGTATCAGAGATCTAACAACATGAGTCCAACTAAAGTATTGAAAAATCTAAGCATTGAACTATTATTTAATCTGCCACCGAATAATAACCCAATCACTTTAACAATAGTGATTAAAAAAGATCAATTGTTGTTGGATATAGTAAGACATTTTATGATGGAAAAGAATATACCGTGTTATTTAGAAGTGTCAATTTTATCCACTATTGAAGCTTTAATGCTAGCAAGCTTACATAAAGATATGGAAAAAGACGTTGAACGTATGTATTTAAGGAAGGTGAGGTGAGGTGAGGTGGATATTTATAATGAATTCTGATAATTTATTTTATTTTATTTATTAAAAAAAAATCTCGTAGTCAACGAAAACAAGGCATATAAGATTCGATCCGAACTTGTAGCAAAATACCAAAAACACACGGCTCGTTATAATGATGCTCCATCAGAAGTAAGTTCTTATTTAAAAGTTTTTTTTTTCCTTTAACAATCTCTCTTTCTTTATTACATTTAATAATTCAAAATACGATTTTGCTCTTTCAAGGATATATTTCCTAGGGCTTATCATACATTAGTTCATTCTCCAGTTTCGTCAATATTTGATACATTTTTACAATTGGAAAGCAATTATAAACAAGCGATAAAAGAATTAAATATTGCAAGGGAAAGAGATAAGTCGCTCATTGATGACAGACATAAAATAGAAGTTGAAGCGTTTGAACCTGGAAGCCAAGCTGATGGTGGAAAAACCAAAGTAATAGAAAGACAAGTTGAGGTATCTTAAAAAAACAAAAAAAGAATTTATTCTTTATTTATTTTTTTTCGGTCAAATGAATTTTTTTTCCTGATTCCGGTTAAATTTTTAAGGAAATTGAATTTCTTCAAGCAACTTCGACGTCAGAATTAGAAGCAATTCAAAGATCACAGAAACAAGAGTATTGTAATTTTGTGTTGATATTATATGAAGCACATCAACGTTTGTTTTCACAACAAGCTATTAGATTAGATGGTAGAGAGATTGTATCAGAAGTTATAAATGAAATGAAAACTGAATGTAAATTATCAAAAGAATTGTTAAGTTTAGATTATCAATATACAAATGGTAGCAGGTCCGCTGAAAGCAGAAGTAGACATGGAAGTATTAGTAGTTTGGCAGAAATTATGCTTCACTCTCCTTCTCCTATACCATCTACCAGCAATGTTGATGAAAAATCAAATGTTAATGGCAATAACAATGTAAGTTTGATTTTATTATGACCGAATTTCTAATAAAAACTTATATTAACCTCTTAAAATTTTGTTTGTAGGAAGATATTACTAAGATCAAAGATATGGGCTTCACCGATGAAGAAGCTAAAGTAGCTTTCGAGATGGGCAACGGAAACATGGTATTTATAAATTATCTCGTTATTTTAATATATCTTTCCCTTTTAATTTCTTACGTCCTTTGATTCTATCCCTTGTTCACGTAGCAAGAAGCAATTATGTTATTACTAGATAACAAGGGGAAAGTAGATGCGCAAATAGCAAATGGAGGTATGATAAATGCAATCCCGATTCCACGACGTCCTTCAATGATTGGTCAATCACAACAAATGTCATCACCTCCGCATCGCCGTTCAAGATCACATAGTAAACAATTGCAGTTGACGATTCAGAAACAAGAAAAAAAAGGAACTTGGTCACCAATTACATTCCTTCAACAACAAAAAAATAATATGATGACCTCTCAAAATAATTCTTCTCTTAGAAAATTAGGTGGATTTATTAATAAAGCTATGGAAAATTTTGGATTTGAAGAAGGAAATGTGAATGGGAATCATATGCAATTAGAAGATCCTCGTTTAGTTGAATCGTTTACTATATCACTCGGAAATCAAGTTAAGGTTACTCATAATCTTAGATTACTGGTTTCGGATATGGATGATTTGCTTAAATCTTCTAATGATATTGCTCGTGATATGGCTTATAGAGCTCAAACCGCTGCTAGTTTATATTCTCAAGATTTAACTGCAATCATTTTATTATTAACTCCAAAAGATTGGCCAATGTATAAGTTGGGAAAAAGTGCTAACAAAGAATTTTTTAAGAGATGTAAGGAATCTACAGAGCTTCATTTTGATAATGTTGAGAATCAATTAGAAGTCATTGAAAATGATTATTCGCTCGATGATTCAAATGGTCCTTCTTTGCAAGAGGGTATGCTTATTTATCGTATATTTTCTTTTTATATTAAGAGAATTACTATTAATATTTTATACCTTTTTTAACAGGTGACTTCTTTATCACACGACATTCCAATCTACCTTTGGTCCATGTTGTATTTCACTTGGTGATTGATTTTGAATGTAAGTTTTTAAATTTTGTCAGTGAATATAAATTTTCCTTCAAACGATTCGAATCTATCTACTTTTTTTTTAAATAAATAAATATATATATATATATTAATCTTTTCTCTTTTGGTATCAAAACTCAGCAATCCAAAAATCCGAATTAACGCACCGTTCACGTGTAATTTCCGGATTACGCAATATACTTCGGACAGTAAACAGATTTGATATCTCAAAAATATCGCTACCGTTCTTATTATTACCATCACATGTTGATGTGTTTTCTGATCAAAATTTAGATGAAAAAGTACTTTATCGCAGGGGTGAATTAGTATTAAAATGTACCAAAGGTTTTATGATGGAAAATAGTAGATTACCAAAACATGTTACAGCGAAAGAGAATGATACCAAGACCGTTTCATTTCTGTTACCAAAGACTGCCAATGATCAACAATTTCATGAATTTAGACTATTGTTAACAAGTACTTTTAAGGCAAGTTAATGTCAAAATTGGAAGAGAATAGATCAAAGAGAGAGAGTAATCAACTTCATCAAGAGAAAGAATGTAATATTAAAAAAGTAATTAATTTGTCAACTTTTATGTTGATATTTAACTTATTATTTATTATTTTATAAGTTTTATTTATTTTATCCTAAATTGTATATAAATTATTGTTCAGAAATCATTAATGACTTTTAGATGGAACACCAGGAGCATGGTATTATTAATAAGAAATATATATATATAGATATATAATTATAAAAATGAAGATTAGTAAATATCAATATATGGGAGGAAATAAGTGTAATGGGAAACCAATCACCGAAGAAAAGAATGTATTGCAGTGACAAGGATAGGATGCATATTTATATAATTTTTGTTAATCGATCAACGGATTTCTTTTCCAGATTAGTATAAATTATTTTCTTCTCGATGTAAGTTTGGTTTTTGTGAAAACAAAAAGTGCATATCAGTGCATGACTGCAGTATAAATTTATTTAAGTCATTAAGATGTATAAATATGGTACCTAAATAAAGGCTTCGAAAATTTTATTGATTTTAATAAAATCATTCGAATTAGATAATTTAAGCGATTAAGCGAATTGACATTATTATAATCTTGTCAGACTTTACATTAAACCTTTTTTTCCTTATTTATTATCTTTTTTTTTTCATTTTTCATTTCCTTTTTTTTTTTTTTTTTTTATGAATAATATAATTAATATAAGCATTATAAACTAGTAATCAAGTTTTTCATTAAGGATCACTAATGTTTGGTTTTTCCTCAATAGGTTTCATGGCAGGGAAAAGTAAGACTTCCTTAATATTTGAACTATCAGTCAAGAACATAGTAAGTCGATCTATACCCATTCCCCAGCCTCCACTAAGAATATTCAAAATTCAAATTAAATTAGAACCACTAAAAAAAAAATTTTTTTTTTTTTTTTTTGAAAATATACTTACGTCGGAGGTAACCCATATTCCAGACTTGTACAGAATGTCTCATCAACAAGCTGAGCTTCATCATCACCTTGTTCTTTTTGACGCGCTTGTTCTTCAAATCTTTCACGCTGATCAAATGGATCATTTAATTCTGTGTAAGCATTACAGACTTCCTTGGTGGCTACAAATAATTCAAATCGCTCACATAATCCTTTAATGTCCCTATGTGCCTTTGCCAATGGTGACATCATTTGTGGATGCCCGATAATAAATGTCGGTGATACACAATCAACTTCAATAAATTCGCCTACAAGCTATCATTTAGAAGGTAAAAATAGGATTAAAAATGAGTTTTAAAAATATAGAATAAAATAAAATAAAAAAAGTTTATTATTCACTTTGTCTAATAATCTTGTACAGGTTCTTGGAGGAGGACATTCTACTTGATGTTTCTCACAAAGTTCTCCAAGAAATTTGGCAGTCTCCTCTGTATGTAATTCAGATGCTGGTGGAAATTTGACATTTAATTTTTCTTCCAAAGTTTCAATCATGTTAAGTCTCTTAAATGGTGGAGTAAAATCTATGTTCATAGCAGCTCCTTCAGGGCCATGAGGATGATAAACAAGCTTATAATCTCCTGTGATATTTTTAACCATACTTGACAGCATTTTTTCAGTAATTTCCATCAAATCATACATATCCGCGTATGCCATATAAAATTCGACCGTAGTAAATTCAGGATTGTGTGTAAGATCAATAGATTCATTACGGAATTGTCTACCGATTTCATATACACGATCCAATCCACCAACTACAAGCATCTTAAGGTATAATTCTGGTGCGACTCTCATAAAAAGATCAAGTTTGAGATCATTATGATGAGTGATAAATGGTTTAGCGGTAGCTCCACCAGCGATCATATTCATCATTGGAGTTTCGACCTAGATAAAATAAAATTAAATATATATATATATATTTTTTAAAAAAAAAATAATGATAATAATAATAATTTGATTCACCTCAAGGAACTCAAGATCATCCAAAAATTTTCTAACATAGTTTACAATTTTAGCTCTAATAATAAACTTATCTCGGACATTATTGTTCATAATCAAATCAAGATATCGTTGACGGAAACGTGTCTCCTGATCCTTAAGTCCATAATGCGCTTTAGGCAACATGTGCAAACAAGGTGAAAGTAGAATAACATCTTTGGGAAAGATTGATAATTCACCACGCTTTGATTTGCCTGGACACCCACGGACTCCTACAATATCTCCACGTCGAAGTAAATCATGAACTTCAAAAAAGTCACGTTCAGAATCTCTATAATATCATTAAGAAAATTGTATATTAAATTCAATAATATAAATTGATACATATTATTAAAGAACGAATGAATTACTGTGCTTGTGCCATGATTTGAATCTTGACGCCATCTCCATGTAAATCATAAAATCGTAATTTAGCACTACTGGTTCTTTTGTTATGAATTCTACCGGCAACCTGAATCACCTCATCTAAATGTTGACCAGGTTCAAGGTTACCATATTTTTCAATGAAAGCTGGAATGGAAAGTTCCACATTAAATTTATGTGGATATGGATTAGGTTGACGGGATTCTCGAAGTTTAAGAATATGCTTCGATCTAATTTCAAAATATTGCTATACAAAATTCAAAATCTTTTGTCAAAGTTCAATCGAATTGAGAGCGTGTATTTAACAAGTCCAATTACTATTTCCATATTTAACCTACGTTTGGGTTTAAATTTTCTTCAGATTCCTCGGAATTTTCGGTTTTTTCGGGTTTTTCAGCAGTTGGGGTAGCTGCAGCCTTAGAAGCCTGTATCGATCAATCAATTTAAATCTATTTTAGTACATAACTTATAAAATTTTTAAAAAATCAATGTAAATCTCTTAACCTTCTTTGCTTCTTTTTCCCGTTGCTTATTGCGTCTTTTCAATTCACTATTAAAAATTATAAATATATTAATTAATTCCTAATACGAATTATATGATTCAAAACAGATCAAACTTTTTTTCTTTTTTACATACTTCTTGGACACTTTCTCTCCTGTAACTTCATCTAAAAGAAGATTCTCTTCTTTGGTGCTCATTGTGATAATTAATTTCCTTCATAGATTAATATAATTTTTAATCTTATCATCGGTGTTAAAGGAAAGCAGAATATTGATATTTACCTTTTAAAAAGTTTACGTTATATTTACAAAAAACGAGCAGCAAAAAAAAATTTTTTTTTAATATATGAAAAAAAAAGATTAATGGCAGATGTAACAAAATTTTTGATCAATTTATAACTTGTCGATTGTGATACACAGTTTGTCTCAAAATGGATATTTGATGAATTGAGTCACAATGAATATTTTTTAAAAAAAAGATCGATCGATAGTGAGATTTCTATCCGTGTACGAAGAACCTTATTATTTTATGTTTTTGTTATAAATATAATTTACATTTTGCGCAATGATTTTGCCCGTCAGTTTAAATTTGAATACTTTATTGAAATTTATATGTAAAGAATAAGTCTATATATATATATATATACACTCTTATTATAATAAATTTTTAAAATTGTTTTATCACGGAATGATGGAAAAGGAAGAATTTATGTTACATAGTGAAAATTCCCGTTCCATATATGGTTTTCTTGTTATCTCTCGATATCTATAACGAGCTTAATACTGGTTTTGTTATGGGCTTAGAATTTGTGTAATTTGTGTAGTTTTTTATAATTTAGACTGAACTTTCGGCAATTCAACCAATTTATAATTTTCTTTTTTTCGATAATGAAATCCAATTCAGTTGAAAATGAAAATACATTTAATTCCTTATCGGAAGATTTAAAATTTGCATTAAATAATCCTTTGTTTAGTGATATAAAGCTAAAAGGAAACGACGGAGAAGAAATACAAGCTCATCGAGTAATATTAGTGTCACGTTCAGAGGTGTTTAAGCGTATATTATTGAATGAATCCACTCAAAATGTGATAGAATTTTATGAGTTTTCTTCGAAAATTTTACACGTTATTCTTGAATATTTATATACCGGGAAAGTGACAGAAACGTTGCAGATTGAAATCATTGCTAAAGCTTTTCATAGTGCTGATTATTTTTTACTTGAGCAACTAAAACATCAAATGATTGAGTTTGTTCTACATGATTTAAAAAATAAGGAAAATAATATAAATATTTCAGCTAAGATTCTATCCCAACTTTTGGAATGTATGGATACTCCTAATAATAAGTTGGTTGAATCACTTTGCAAAATTATTGATTTTGCTCCATTAAAATCTATTGAATATAATAATTTAATATTGAATATAATAATTAAACCGACAAAGCTTTGAATTATATTTATCAAAGATCAATAAGAAAGAGAATAAGATATTTTTCAAAATGGAATATGAATTATTATATTATATTATATTATGGGCTGCAAATAAAATCTCGGAAGAAGCTTTATTATTTTATAATTCATATTTGCCTTCTCTAGAAATTATTGAAAAATTTATCACTACAAACGTGAAAGAGTGGGATATTAATTTCTTATCTAACACGGAAGAATCTCATGCAAAATACCGGTCAACTATGTTATTAATGACTTCGTCTCTACTTAATTATGTGGATTTAGAACAAATTCATCCATCGATTATTTCCGATATAATTGAACCTCTTGATGGTATAGTTGACTCAAATATATTATTAAATAAATATCGGAAAAAAGCTTTATTAGCTGAAAAGTATTCTAATATAATGTACTTCAGTGGGATGGTCGAGCACGTGGTACTAAAATGTGCTTTGATAATAACGGTCCTTATATTGCCTTCACGAGTTCCTCATCACATGAATGGATTAGAACTACATTACCAATAATCGGTCAAGGTTTATTTGAATGGGTTATTGTAGTTGAGGAATATTGTAATTTTTTTGGGTTGGAATTTGTACAGAAAATGATTTTGATGTAAATTACGACTCATGGCTTGGAAAACAAGCATACGGATGGGTTCTTGGTTCGAATGGAGTTCTTTGTCATAATACACAGAAAGATAATGGGCCTTATACGAATCAATATGGAAATGAATTTTTTGAGAATGCTAGAATCACTGTGCATTTAGATATGAATGAAAGAACTTGCTCTTTTTCAATAGATGGACAAAGGTATCCTGTAGCATTTAGCAATTTACCCGATGAAATTTATCCTGCAGTATCTTTAAAATCGCCTGGCAAGGCGAGGATTGAGCCATTTCGAAGTAGTGCTCGTTAATCAAAAGATTAATGTGCAAGATAAATCCAAAAACAAAAAATATTATAATTATTTTGATTTGATTAATTCGATTTAAATTTGTGATTTAGATAAAATTTTTGTATTATGTAAAAGTAGTTATAATAATTGGGAATTTTATTCTTCGAATCTTCGAAAAAATAAATGTCTCACAATATAATCCAATTCAACAAAATGATTCTTCAAAATATTTAAAATTTGCATTAAACAACCCTTTGTTTAGTGATGTAAGGATAAAAGGAAATGACGGATAAAAAATTAATGCTATCGAGTGTACGTTCAGAAATATTTAGGAAATTTTATTGAATGAATTAAGAAACCCTGGATTTAGGACAATTTCATCCATCGTATGTAATAAAAAAATCCTCATCGATATAACATCAGTAATCAATCAAGTATTATTGAATAGATTATTATGGTTGAAAGAACCTTGTCAATTATTTTGGGTTGGAATTTGTACAGATCTAAATTACTACTCAAAACGAGCATATGGATGGGAACACAAAATTTACCGCGTAAAATTTACCGCGTCATAACGTGATTTTAATAGCAACTTTATTATCTTATTTAGGATCAATTACTCGTGCTAACTAATTATAAAAAATTTCAATCTCCTCTTTTCTTCCAATGCTCTCAATTATGCAATTCAATTCAAAAAAAAATATTAAAGCCGATTCTTTATCTGACGATTTAAAATTTGCATTGGATAATCCCTTATATAGTGATGTAAAGATAAAAGGAAACGATGGAAAAGAAATAAGTGCTCATCTTATAATATTAGTGGCACGTTCAGAGATGTTTAGGTTATTAATTGAAATGAAAGATTCCACTCAAAATGTGATAGAATTCCCAGAGTTTTCTTCGAAAACTTTACACGTTGTACTTGAATATTTATATACCGGGAAAGTGACAGAAGCAACGTTGAAGATTGAAATCATTGCTAAAGCTTTTCATAGTGCTGATTATTTTTTACTTGAACCGTTAAAACATCAAATTATCGAATTTTTTACATATTATTTAACAAGCCATGAGGATAGAATAAATGTTTCGGCTAAAATTTTATCTCAACTTTTGAAATTTATGGATACTTCTAATAATGAATTAGCAAATTCACTTTGCAATATTATTAATTCTGCTCCATTAAAATCTATTGAATATTGTAATTTAAACGACAAAGCGTTGAATTATATTTTATCAAAGATCGAAAGGGAAGAGTCCGAGGAATATTCCAAATCGGAATATGAATTATTACATTACATTATATTATGGGCTGCAAATGAAATCTCGGAAGACGCATTTTCATTTTATAAGTCATATTTGCCTTCTACAGAAATTATTGAAAGGTTTGATTCTACATTCATGCAAAAGTGGAAGGGGAATTTCCTGTACAACATGGAAGAATCTCATGCAAAATATCGGTCAACAATGATAAAAAAGACTTCATCTCTAATTAAATATGTGAATCTCAGACAAATTCATCCATTAGTAATTTCCAATGTAATTGAACCTCTCAACGGAATAGTTGACTTTAAAATATTGATAGATACATATCGGAACCAAGCTTTATTAGCTGAAAAGTATTTGATTTACCGAGAAAAGTTACTCGTGGTAAAAAAAGCGTCTTGATGACAATGTTGTTATTGTAATTACCATCAAGCTGGAATGAATTAGAACAGTAACACCAAAATGTGGTCAAAGGCTTATTTGAATGGAATATATTGTTGATGAAATAAGTGATTGTTTTTGGGTTGGAATTTGCACAGAAAATGGCAATTTAGTATTCACGTGAATTTCTTTAAAAAAGTGATCACGTGAGCTTTTGAAGTTATATATTAGGATTTCCCAATAGAAATATTTTCTAATTCGAAAATTCGTTTTTAGTGGTTCCAATTGTTAAGAAATAAAATATTCATGAAACATATATGGGTATCGTGTTAATAAAAATCACGCAGGATTTCTTCTAAAATTTTAAACGTTATATATAGTTGAAGATTAAATATCGTAGCTAATTATTTAGTAAATTTGTTATTTCACTTACCACATCTTTAATTCTGCTCCATTAAATTTATTGAATCGTAATTTACAGAAAGAGAAAAGGTTATTTTTACAAAAATAAAAAAATTTTTATAAGTCATAGTGATTTGAATAAGCAATATTAAAAGTTTAACTGCAAGAGAAGTACAATTATCAAATTTAGGAATTAGGATTTAGGATTTTTTTTTTAAATTTATTCGTAAAAATAAATATTGGAGCATTAAATCAGAAATTTGAACATCTATTTTTTTTTTTTATAATTTTCAAATATAATAAGAAAGATTTAGGAAGATTAATAAATAGTTGTTAACAAAAAATTTAATAATTTATAATATTAAATCGCACCCTAAATAGTGATACGGCTTCCTTAGCGCAGTTGGCAGCGCGTCAGTCTCATAATCTGAAGGTCGTGAGTTCGAACCTCACAGGGAGCAGATCATATTTTTAATTTTGCATATTTTCAAAAATAACCGTTTTTTCAAGCCCCTGAAAAACTATTTTCATTATTTTGCTGCGGTTGAAAATTGAGTATTTATGTGTATAAATATTTTTATTCAATCTCTGTAACAATTTGGCGTATATTAATTATTATTTGATATGTTTGAAGTTTCAAAGAGGATCGAGGTGTGGCGTAAAATTTTAAAACCTAACAATTAACAATGCAATTTATTGTTTATCGATTGACGTATATCGAAGGGAGGCTCCCTAAAAAAAAGTAATCTCGTACAAAAGTTCATTCTATTTAACTGTGCCACATTTTTGTGTTTAACTTGTTTCGGAATGATGAATCGTTTAAGGAAATCATATCAAACCTAGATGATTGATTAGTAATCTGTAATACCATGTCATACAAGTAATTAATGAAATTTCCAAAAAAAATTTTTTTAAACTGTTAAACAATTTTAGGCGAGCTTATTTTTTGGTTTTCAAACACTTTAAGGTTTATTACAATGATGTACAATTTGCATTTGAAATAATGTATTGAAGATCATATAGGCTCGGAAAATAGTTCGGAGAAAGTATTGTCAAATTCCTATTATAGATTTAAAATTTGATCAAATGTCAAAAAATTTTTCCCCAAGTTTTGAAGATTTGTTTGTTAATATTAAAAGGTTTCAGAAACTTTAAATTTTATTGTTTCCAAAGTAGAACATCCTGAAACAAGTATATGTCGATCTTTTTCCGAATTGGTGAAAGTGACACGCGATCATCCTGACCCCCGGCATTTTTTAATATTGTTTTTTTATTTTCAAATATAATTGCGCAGCAATTACCAAGAACAATACCATTATTTTCAAAAAAAAAAAAAGAATAAATAGAAGTGGAACCCAACTTGGATTTTTCTCTACTCTTACTTTTATTCAAAGTCTGCTCTTATCGTTATCAAATAAGTGGTAAAAAACCAATATAATAATAGATCGGATTAAATCACCTCTCGTCAATTCACGTCAAATCTCATTATTTTTAGAATCATCTTTTTCTTTAAATAATTTAAGCAACCTTTCTCTCATACATTTCATAATGTCAACCATCTCATCTCGGTTTCAAAAAATTCAATTCAGAAATTTCTCATCCGCTGCAACTATCGATGGTATTCCAGTCACATTTATCATATCGAAATTGCATCAATTGGGTCCGGTTTATTTGGATGATAAATCTACGTCATTCGCAGAATTGTATGTGAATGGTATAGAAAGACCGTTTTGGGTTCATAAAGAATGGCTAATATTACAATCAAGTTTTTTTCAAAATATTTTTGAAACCATTAAAACAAATAACAGTATAATCCGTATTACTGTACCTTCTCCTGAAAATTTTGAATCCTTATTGGAATTTTTATATGATGGTGATTCTGACAAATTATATGATACCCTTACTCAAGATAATTATTACAGCGTTTGGAAAAATATAGAATATTTAGGCCTTGGACCTGAAATTAGAGCCATCTGTATCGCTTTTTATCAAAATCAGGTCGACAGCACATAAATTAAATATAAGAATTAAGAAAATATTTTTTTTTCCTAAAAATATAAAAGGAGTATCGTAATTTAGAATTAAAATAGAAATCACACACTCTTTTTTTTTTTTTAAAAAAAAAAATATTTAGTATAAACAAAAAACATTAAGATCAAATATGTAAATCAACTTCCTAAGCTTTAACTTTCCATTTATTTTTTTTTTTTTATTTTTCTAAGCAAAATTGTAATTATCAAATTTACTTGTTACGCTAAGTTTAGATGTTTAAATCCACAAGGATTCACTCGGGGAATCCCATGAAATATGTATAATATAAATAATAAATAAAAAAAAAAAATGTAAAAAGTCAATAATTGTTTGATTATTTTTACCGCAGCACTATTTATAAGTGAGGACGCCTAATAACTAAATAACAATGAGTATTTAGTTGACATTTCCATTTGTCATCTTGGAAGCATGTGCATATCGTTTTTCGTTTGACTATTTATCAGGATTGAAAATAATGGTTATAACGAATTTTTGGCTCCGGACGTGAAAGATAAAAATATTTTCTAATGCTTCATCATATGAAATGAAGGAATAAACTTATCCCATGAGATTAAAAAATCATTAAATTCATGTTTGTTGAATAGTTAATTTTTAACGAAATTATATTATGCATGCAATCATATTATATTAATTTGGTTAATATCCAAATATGTTAATAATAATATTGTAACGCACTTCATGCAATTACCACTTCCACTCAAGCTCAATTGCTTAGTTAATTGCGTATAGAAATTTGACATTTTTTTGCTATTTTGATTAAATATTAAAAATTTATAAAGTTGTTTATCCCAAGTTGTTTATTATTAATAAGTGTAAATTTGATTATAAATAATCCTCCGTTACAAACAATTTGTTGTATTATAATTGAAGAATTATTCTGTTGCATACCAATCTTATAATAAACTTAAAACTCTATTAGAATAAACTTGATTAAACTATTGCGTTATACTTGAAGTAAATTTCTAAACATCTACAAGAATAAATTGTTAAGTGGATTAGAAAAGTCTTCATTCAGAAATTGGATTAGGAAAAAAAAATACCAAGTTGAAGTTAACGAGGATACTAATCATTCACTGAAATTAATTATCTTACAAACAGTTGTAAATTGAGTTAAATCTTACTGTTACTCAACTGATTAAGTATTTAAGCCTACCTAATTATAAGTTAAATAATAACATCAGAAGATTTTTTATAATGATATATAAATGTACAGTAATCTTCTGTTTGAGGTCGCTGTATGGTATAAGATAAAGAAGGGCCTTTACCAACTTTTAATTGTTCAAAAAACATAATGTGATAGGTAATTAAGGGCTTCAGATCCTGACTATTAATAAAAATAATACTAGACAAAGGAGTTTGACCCTTTTTAATACGGAATAAGTCACAGTCATAAGTATCCAACCGGCTGTAATTGGCAAAAGTTATTATATAACCACCCTTCAAATTTTCCGGATATTTAGTGTAACATAATACCTGATTACCAGTACTTTTATAGAAATCAATGGCTTATTTTTAAAAATTGGATGATCATCGAACTTACATCTTTAAAAATTGAGCTTTCTCTTGAAAAACGCTATGAAATTGTATTTCTACGTGAACATCCAGCTGGTCCAATGTTCAGTTTTGGACAAATAGCTAAAGTGGTCCGCTGTAGTAAATCTACAGCTATTTTTTGGGTTAAAAAATATCATGAAAATCGTGATCTAAGTATTGCAGAAAGACTAGGTCAGTCTCATGTAATAATAGCAAAGCAAGATAAATGAATTACAAAGATGGCAGAAAAAGAACATAATATTACAGCCACTCAAATACAAAAAAATATAAAAGAACATGATGTTAGGATTAGTGTAGAGACTGTCAGACGACATCTTCGTGAATCTGGAGGTAAGTTTACTAATGAAATTTCTAAACCTTTGCTTACAGAAGCATATCAGAAGAAGCGGCTGCAATGGGCAAAAAAACATAAGAATTTTGATTGGAATCAAGTTGTTTTTACAGATGAGAGTACATTTCAACTATATACATCAAAAAAATAATTTGGCAGTTTGGTGGAAGAAAAAAAGTATTTTGTTCTGTCAAGCATCTACCAAAAGTTCATGTTTGGGAATGTTTTTCTTTTTCAGGATTTGGTAAGTTATATAGCTTTCAAAGGAACCTTAATGCTAATTTTATATATACTATTTATGAGCAAGGTCTTCTGACTTCCACTTCTAAGCTTTTTGGAAAAGGTAACATAGACTGGATCTTGCAAGAGGATAATGATCTAAAATACCGGTCAAAAATCGCAAAAAAATGGAAGGAAGAAAATAGTATTAAGGAACTTTCTTGGCCATTAATATCTCCGGATCAAAATCCTATAGGAAATATGTGGTGGTTAATGAAATTAATATACAAAAAAAAATCCAGTCAGTTAGAGGTTTGAAGAAAGTATTGACAAAAGAATAGAACTGATTCTCACCTGAGCTTGCCGTGAAATTGGTAGATAGCATGAATCATTGTATAACCGCCCTTATAGGTTTTAATGGAAATTTTACTATGTATTAAAAAAAGTTTGTTTAGTATTGTATTTTTAAATAACAAAAAATTTTTTGATTTGCTTACCTGTATGAGGAGTTAAAGGCGATCAGATACTTATGACCGCTACTATAATAATATGCAATAAATTGATGTAATATTTATATTTTTAGTGAAATAATCCATAATTTATTTATTGGATATATTTTTTCAAAGTTTTAAAACAAACATTTTTTTTATCAGTTAATTTAATAATTAATAATTTATTTTTTAAAATATTTATACTTATCATTATTAAAATATTTTTAAAAGTTCTTTCTGTAATTTATATATTAATATTTTTACTAAATTTTAATATTTTGAAATTTGTATAAAAATTCAAATTTTTTATTTATTACTAATATTCTCATATTTTAATTTTATATAATACAATCAGACCTGTTTATAATCACCACTTTTGGTTTTTAAAAATTACATAATTACAAATAGTGGTGAATATATATAGTTTTACTATATATAATCACTTGTGATATAAAAATTATAGATTAAAAATTATTTAGAAAAATATAATTGGCGATCTGCAACATCTGATCAGCCAATTAATAATAATTAGCCATGTTAATTTGTAAAAAAAAAAAAAAAATACAGTATTTTTTAAAAATAAAGCTAATACTTTTAAATAATTATTCATGTATACTGGTATAGAATTTATTTATGAAACTATAGATATTTATAAAGCTATTAGTAATTCTTTTATATTTTTTATATATATTATATAACTTTACCTTACAATTCACATTTTATTTAACCACTTTAGTCAAATAAAATCACCTTTCAGATTTTAAGTAAAGTTGTTCAGCAGGTATTGAAATACTTATATATATTTTTTTTTGTAAAAATTAGTTAGATAATCGTAAAATTATTTACATTTTTCAAAAGCAAATCACTAAAAATAACTCTATCTTATATTTTATAACATAATTTCATTAGTTTAATCAAATGAAATCACCTCTCAAATTGTTCAACACTAAAATATATACTAGTTGAAATTATTTCATGTGATTTAGCAAAAATTTAACCTCAAGTTACAAAATTTGATAGTTATTTGTTACATCACATATAATTTAGTATTATTTTGACATTAGATCTTTCGCCAAACATTCAGCCAATTCGATCATGTAATTCAGAAAAAATTCAGCTTAAATTATAAAAATCGATAGTAATTTGTTACATTACACATAATTTAGCATTATTTTAGCATTAAGACCTTTCAGTTATAATATTCAGCAAAATTTCAGTTAGACTCAAGATTTGGCAACAAATCGACTATATCTCACTGGTCAAAATCTGTTGAGCTGATTTTTGTGAAATTATAAAAATATTCTGAAAATAATTGTCTTAAAGAGATAATAGAAATTGTTCCTAAAGGAATAAACAATTATTCCCAAAGAGATAATAGAATTTGTCCTCAAAGGAACAATACAATCATCCCAAAAGGAATAAACTATACTCCCTAAAGAGATGATAGAACTTATTCTTAAAGAAATGAACTATTATTCTTAAAGAGATAATAAAAATCATTCCTAAAGGAACACTAGTCGAAATCATTTCTTTCAGTACTAATACCATTCAGTTAACATTCAGCTGATTCAGTCATGTGATTTAACAAAATTTAGCTTAAGTTACAAAAATCAATAGTCATTTGTTATACTATACATAATTTAGCATTATTTCAGTATTAGATCTTTCGTTAAACATTCAGTTAATTCGTTTATATAATTCAGAAAAAATTCAGCTTAAGTTATAAAAATCAATAGTAATTTTGTTATATTATACATAATTTAGCATTATTTCAGCATTGGTTATAATATTCAGCAAAATATCAGTTAGACTCAAGATTTGGTAACAAATTGACTGTATCTCACTAGTCGAAATCTGTTGAGCTGATTTTTGCAAAACTATAAAAACATTCTGAAAGTAATCATCTCAAAGAGATGATAGAATTTATTCTCAAAGAAACAATAGAAATCATCTCTAAAGGAATGAACAATCATCCCTAAAGAGATGATAAAAATCGTCTCTAAAGGAATAAACAATCGTTTTCAAAGTAACAATACAATTATCTTAAAGAAGATGATAGAAATCATCTCTAAAGGAACAAATAATTATTCCTAAAGAAACTATAGAAATCGTCTCTAAAGGAACAAAATATCATTCCCAAAGAGATGACAGAAATTGTCTCTAAAGGAATGATTCAATTATTATTCCGAAAGAATGATTTTTATTATCATTCTATTGGAACAATACATTATCGTTCTGAAAGAATGATTTTTTCATCATTCTATTAGAACAATACATCATCATTCTGAAAGAATGATAATTTTTTTATTATTCTTTCAGAACGATATATCATCATTTCAAAAGAACGATTTTTTCATCATTCTATCAAAATGATATATCATCATTTCTTTAGAACGATTTCTTTTATTGTTCTTTTGAAATGATACATAATCATTTCTTAAGAATGATATTTTTTCACTGTTCTTTTGAAATGATATTTTTTCATGATTATTCATGGATATAAAGATTATCCACAGATTATCCATACAAAATTATTTATCCATAAATATTATCCGAAGTAGTAAAATGAGTATCTGCAATCTATTATCTATACGGATATACAGTTTACAAATAAATGGATCTAAACTCTAATATTTATGATAAATAAAAAATAATATTTAAATTTCAGATTATAGTCAGAACTCGATATAGTGAACCTTCTGGTTTACTATGAAATTTTTAAAAAAAAATCAGTTTATCAAAATTTATAAGTTCTAATTAATGATTTTTATATGTTTAAATATAAAGTCAAAAATTTTAAAAAAATCGTTTTAACAAGATTTTATTAAGTGATCATTATAACGAGAGTATTATATCAAGTTCTGACTGTAATTGAAATTTTAGTTTAATTTACAGTATAAAACTGAATTGATAAACTTTCAGAATATTCTGAATAAATTTATTTCTTTTTTTTTTTTCCTAATAAGGTGATTTTTGGGCGGAAATTTAACCTTTTCCTTTCTTTTTTCTTGTTTTTTTAGAAAATTCTTATTTTGGAATTAAGGTAAGTGAATCAAAATGACTTTTGTGACATTTTTCTTTCTTTATTCTTGTTTTTTAGGAAATTCTTATTTTAGAATTAAGGTAAGCGAATCAGAAGTAATTTTTGTGGTATTTTCCTTTCTTTATTCTAGTATTTTTAGAAAATTCTTATTTTGGAATTAAAGTAAGCGAATCAGAAGTGACTTTTGTAATATTTTCTATTCTTTATTCTTGTTTTTTAGAAAATTCTTATTTTGGGAATTAAGATAAGCAAATCGAAAGTAACTTTTAGATGGTTTTTAACTTTTTTTTTCTTTATTTTCTTTTTTTTTTTAGAAAAATTCACTTTTCAAAGCTAAAATAAGCCTTTAGAAAGATACTTTTAAATGTGTTTTAACCTATTTTTCTATATTTTTTCTTTAATTTCTTAGGAATACATTAAGACAGCCTTTCAGAGGTGATATTTAATGGGTTTTCTAACTGTTTTCTTTATTTTTTTTTTACTTTCTTTAGGAATACATTAAGGTAAGCCTTTTAGATGGTAATTTTAGATGGTTTTTAACCTTTTTTTCTTTATTTTTTCTTTACTTTCTTTAAAAATACATTAAGTTTAGCCATTCAGAGGTGGTATTTTGATGGATTTCTAACTGTTTTATTTATTTATTTTTTTACTTTTTTTTAGGAATACATTAAGGTAAGTAAATTAGAAGTAGTTTTTAGTAGGTTTTCTAACTGTTTTCTTTATTTTTTTTCTTTACTTTCTTTAGGAATACATTAAGGTAAGCCTTTCAGAGATAATATTTTAATGAATTTCTAACTATTTTATTTATTTTTCTTTTTTTTAGAAATACATTAAGGTTAACCTTTCAGAATTGATTTTTAGTAAGTTTTTTAATTGTTTTCTTTATTTTTTCTTATCAGTAAAAAATCAAATGTATTTTTTTTGAATAAAATATAATATAATATATATATTTTTTTGAGTAATTTATTATATAATAATATAATAAAATTATAAATCATAAATAAACAAAAATGAGTTTTATTAGTTTCAATTTTTAATAATTTTTGCTGATTGTTAATCGATTTTAAACTGATTTATGATCAATTTTTAACATAAATTCTGATTGATAACAAATTTTCTATTTATTCAAAATGCTGATTTTTTAGTAATAATCATCAGAATTAGATAATATTTTAATCAACTTTCGGTATCTTAAATGTGACTAATTGTATTATTTTGCCTAGTAATATATCAAATAACTAGCAATCGTTAATGTGGAATTATTTTTTGTATAGCATAAAAATGTGCAACTTTGGCTATAACTAAAAATGCCGATTGTTTTGACAATTATCAGCAGAAATTAGACTATATTTTAGCTAACTTTCAGTATTTTAAAAAGTGGCGAAATGGATTATTTTGACTAGTAGCGTTTGGTATTATAATATCTAAATATAAATAAAGAAAAAATATTATATGAAAAATGATAACCATTTTATATAAATCATTTTGAAGCATTACTAATATCACATAAAAACTGATTATAAATAGTTTATTTATTAGTTATTTAATATACAAAATTTTTTTTTCAGTGATAGTAATTAACTTATAATGTGATTATAAAAAGGTATATAAATATTAATAATTTTTGACATTAAAATTAAGTGATTATAGACAAGATGTAATTATAAATAGGGTAATTATAGATAAGCCTGACTATATTAATTTATACTATGACAAAAATGGGATTCTGGAGCAATAATCAAAATAGTGCACAATAAGTTTCTTGAATGTTTACAAATCAATTT